CGGCACTAATCGAGGTGGAGCCAATATTGAACAATAGACTTTTGACACCAGGCGCGAGTGAAGCCCGGGGTCTTGCACTTACGCCGAACGATTTGATGCTTTTGAGACCGAATAACGGACTGGCAGTACCACGAACTCTAACGAAATATTACTCGAGCAGTTGGAGGCAGGCTACCTACCTAGCGGGAGTTTTCTGGAAGCGGTGGGTCCAAGGGTACTTACCTACCCCACGGGCACGCCAGAAATGGATACTCAGAGAAAGAAATTTTTGAGTCGGCGACATAGTACTGCTTGCAGATGAACGGTTGCGGCGAGATAAATGGTCCCTGGCGATCATCGAAGAATGCCTTCCGGACGAGGATGGGCTCGTACGCACGGTTAAAGTGAGAACGGCAGCCGGCGAAACCCTGCGAGATATCCGCCAAATCTGCTACCTAGAGGGAGAAGAAGCAGGATCGACCGAGAACCCAAGCAGCTGAGGAATCCTCCGGGTTGGCAGGGGAGGCACTGAGAGTCATGAAGAACGGCTTGTGGTTAACCTCCTGAGCTGGCGGAGACGGGCAGGACGACGATAGGCCTGATAGAATGGCACAAAGACTGCAGGAATTAGATAGATAGGGTGACAATTGGTGCTCCCCTGAATTTCCCTTTGACCGTGTGACGCGAGGAAGTATTTTGCCGGGCGGTGTATTGATCGATCTGTGAAAATCCTTCCTGTAAAGCCCAGTTAATCTATCTCGGTTCTAAATTTCGTGAATTTCACATTCCATTCACCTAACACCATCCGCCTCACATACATGTAGACATTTGACATTCCTTTCCCTTTGTATATTTACACATCAATCCTACTTTTTGACCTTGTTTGTTTACCTGCTTCATCCGTACCCTATTTGTGTTAATCGCGACCTGAGAGCTTACATTTGGCTCGTTCATGTGCAGCGTGACGGTGAGCGTGCTATTCTTAACCAGGCTTATTTTCTTCCATTCCGGTTTGTTGATTTACGCTCACAGAAACACTTGGCTCTTGTTTTCAAGTTGTTTCGAGATCACTTTGA